CGGAGGTGTGGTACAACAAGGTCGAGGACGGGGCGGCATGGTTCATGAGGAAATGGCACAGGCAGGAGGCGGAAGCGTCTGCGAAGCGCCAGGGCGCGAGGGAAGCAGAAACAGAGTACGGCCATCTCAGGACCGAAGAGAAAGAGAGTTGGGGAAGCGGCGGTGGGGGGGAAGAAACGGCGAACGGGCACTGCTGTAGAAGCGAGTAGGGCGGCCGAGGCAGCACATGTGGCCAACTATGTACCCGGCTGATGTTGTTGCGCCCTGTTTCCCTCCCTGCTGTATGCTATACTCCTTTGTATATGTCCGTTATATATTGCCTTCGGCCTCTGTGCTGTGTTTCTGTGTTTCATGTCAACCCTGCCTACTCTGCTGCGTTGGGTACCTTGATCTCGCTTTTGCTGTTGCTTTTGTTTTTTGTACATCTGGCTGTCTGCCCATCTGCCGCCTCTTTGTTCTGTTTGCTCCGTTACTCCCATGCCCTGGTGCGTTGTGCCTGGTGCTGGTACGTTACCCTTTGATTTGTTGTTTAGGCGGGTGTGGGAAGCGTCCTCCTTTGTTTTTGTTTTTGTTTTATTTTTGATCAGTTTCCGAGGGCTCTTTTCTCGAACGGTCGGTGCAGTACCTGCTATTTTTTTTCTATCATTTTGTTTTCTTTGTCCAAGTGGTTTGTACCCTGTTTGTGTTCTGTTTCCCCGCGGCGTCGTATGTGCCGGGTTTTGAGACCACGGGCTCCCCATTTTTTGTGGACAACAGAGCTAATGTGAGAAACAACAACAAAACTTCATACGTTTCGGAGGAGACGACCTCGAGAGCGTGTTCGTGTTCTCTGAGGAACGGCCAAGTGGTAAGGGGAGGAGAATCGTTGTGGCCGTAGGGTGTTTGACGATGCCGCCGTGACGAGGACGCGACCGGTGGTCATCGAGCATCCCTCCCAACTGAAAAGGGGTGTCGAAAGAAAAGGTCGATTGATTATTCTATGGCCGAACAAACCCATCCATCGTGGCGAAGAATGCCGCTAGTGGCAATCATAAATTGACGTGAAAATGGGTGCACATCTCCGTTTCCACGCCTGAAGTACGCCTTTCAGCAAACGATAGCGAACGTTGTTTTCAACAACAAAGTACCGCTGCACAATTCAAAGTTCCAAATACGAACTACTGTTGTTGTCGAATACACCTGGGAAAAACGATCGAATATCGTTGAACAAAAGTCTTTCTTCCAACAAAAAAAGCTCAATCAATGTGAAAAACGGCAGCATACAATACGTACATACGTGTAGTATGTATCTGTCAGGCAGAGGGAAAAGGAACAGACATTTTCAATAGTCTAGTCTAGACTATGTATCTATATCTGAAGTTGTTATGACAAACATTGGCGCTCATTTGGTGCAAAAATCGATGTTCACCGCAAACACACAAACAAACTAGACAAGAGTAAGTGTGGGTATTAAGGACCAACCGCCTACGGCATGCACGACCATGATTACACCCCCCCCCCCCCCCCCCCCCCCCCCCCCCCCCCCCCCCC